TATTTCATCTTCGATATAACACTTTTACCATCTGTCACACCATATGGTTTGGTTATTTGTGATGCTGACTAGAATACCAACCCAAAAGGCAAGGATGTCGTTCATATCTGGATGCCCAGAATCTAGAACACCCATGGAACTTAGTGGACGCTACCCAAGTAGTCGAAGAACTTTGATGGTTCTTGCTTATTGTCTGTTTGGTTTTGTTTTTTTGTTTTTGATTCTACAGTTTGGGGCAATTAAGGGTTCTTGTTTTTCAGGTCATTAACCAGCTTCGTTGTCATCTTCAGTCAGCCCACTGACATTTGAAGGTGGTCTTAAACCTTTCTCAAAAGGCATGTAAATCATGCTGTTCATGTTACCTGGAGGAACCCACGACATGTTTATATTTGCTGATTCGCAGGAACCTCTGACATGCCTTTGGGTAGTTTTTCCTCAGCTCTCCCTCACCTACTTTCAATGCCCATTTCTTTGAATGCTCCGCCCTATCAGCTCATATTGCCAGTCCTTTTCCACCCTAGGAGAGGTGGTCAACACTTGTAAGCTTCGGGGGTTTGGCAGTGGAGGTAGGGGGTGGGAGATGGGGGGACTGTGCAGCATTTTTGTTGAGAATTAGAAGTGCCAAAAAAAAATCTGTGCTAAAAACAGCAAGCAACTGGAAATAAAACACTTCCTCTTTTATAATTCTTTTAGCTATTCCATCACGAGGGGAATGTTGTCCTGTTTTTCCTTGACCGGAGGTGCCCGTCATCTCTTCTCTTCTTGTTTAGCATACCTCTCTCTGCACGCGCGCACACACACACACCCAGACCACAGACACCTTCAAGCATGTATACACTCACTCACTCTCTCTCTCTCACACACACACACATACACACTCAAACATATACACACTCACATACACACATATGCACAAGTTTCTTTTGAATCAGAAGTAGTGACAGGACTATCACTACAGGGTAACTAGTGAAATCACTTTCCCCAAGTAAAGTATATAAAACATGTTTTGTTTCATCTTTGTATTAAGGTTCTCTCTCTCTCTCTCTCTCTCTCTCTCTCTCTCTCTCTCTCTCTCTCTCCCACACACACATACATATATATATTAAAGTCTACTTTGATTTTGTTACTGTTTTGCCCTTGAAAGATAGCCATGTTTTTATTTAATTAGACATCTAGTTTTAACCAAAAGCCATGTGTAATGACCAAGAATAAATTAATCAAATTCAACTTCATTACTAACATTTAGCTCATTGTCAGTGTTCTGAAAGTGACAAGTCATCTTACATTGAAGAGTTAAGAAAATGATCCAATATTATGGACAAGCCTTTATATCTGTCCATAAATGTGTCTTGCCTGAGGCTATTCACTGATAGTGATAAAGTAAATGCACAAAAACAACAGCAAAAATAATCCCTTGTCAATAATTAGAAAGCAAATACTCAGTTTGTGTCAGGAAGCAGACTCAAAGAGAAAGCTTGTGTTCCGTGATTAATTCCATTAATGGACCAGCAAGAAGAGCCACAGATATGACTTCCTCTCCATACTAGGACTCTAGGCTGGGAGCCAGGACCTTCTCAGGATGTATTTGGAACAGCTCCCATCTCAACAGCCTCCAGAGAGGGCAGGTAATTTAAAGGTCTTCCACTGCACATAGAGGAACGAGCTGAACCACAGGGTGTCGGTGAATACTACAGTGAGCATATGGATATCAGAGGGAGACTTTCGGGAGCCAGTTACTCCTTCCACTGTGTCATCTAGGGACCCAACTCAGAGCGTCAGGCCGGCACAGCAAGTATGTTTTGTGCCTTTGCGTGGGCTGTCTCGACACTCCCTTATTTATTCTTAATATCCTAAACACACTCTGTGTTGTTCTACATGCAATTCTTGCTTAAATTCTAACCTGTTGCATCTTCTCTGTCTGTTGAACTCGTGTTTATACCGATACACTCCATGGAAAGACACTTTTTCCATGAAGCTTTTCTCAATCACACCCACTAGGAAAAGAGTGCTTCCCACTCAGAAGTCCACCATATTCGCTTTTACCTTTCACAGTTCCTATCATCTGAAGCCATACCATATTTATGGGTGCAGACATACACGGAGTATATTTCAATCATGCCTTTTTCAAAATTCATGCTTTAGTCTCATCTCTATCCCAAAGCCATGTGTGATAATGCCTCCATGTATTAGACATTTAAATATTTATCTTCCAAATACTGGGCATATAGGCAATAAATGAAGAATATATTTCTAAAGGCATTTTTTTTGCTTGTGACTTGCCACAGAAGTGTGATAAATGCAAATGTTCAATGGACAAAACATCCATCTTTCGAACTATTTCTTTGTATCATTAGTATAGTATGAACCAAAATGCAACTTTACTAATATTTTAAAAACTTAACCACACACATACAAAAACACACACACATAATTACAACATGATTCTGCTCATCATTTATAAGAAACATAATACTGTGCTCTTATTAATTACAATTTTATAAGTAAAAAGTGGCTCATTTAAATGGTTACCGAACCCAGTGAGCATTGCGATTACAAACTAAAATACTTCAGAAAGCAGAGAGCACTTGACAAGTTCTGAAACTTACTTTTCTCGTGCATTATACTTTAGTGAGTGCATGAATATACCAGCTATCAATCTTCATAACTTAATATCTATAAACAGAGTGAAGAACTCTGTCTTAGCGCTATTTAAATCCCATACTCCTTCACTTCCGTTGGTGAGTTATTTTTCCAGTGTTCCTGACACAGTGCTAGACAGTCCACTAACTGTGTTCCAGATGGACTGAACGTACTTTTTATATAGTAGAGGTGTCAGAGCTCTTGAAATGAAAAAAGAAAGACTACACAACTCTGCCTATGCCCTCAAGCCCCAGTCTCCTCACATTTGCTCTATATTATCATTCCATTTTCATGTGTCTTCTTTTCCCCAGAGGACACTTCACATCCGTCTATTTTTCTGTTCAAAATGCAATCAGGGAATAAAAGTACTCAAATCAAAGCTTCTGCAAGCTTGTGAAAGAGTTCAGCTGTATCTGATGTCTAAACATACTGTGTTGCGTTGTAATTTATTAACACCCAATCTTCCTAGACTGAATCATGTGGACTTAACATTAGAAACAGGTATCGAAGGGTCTTTATTCATATTCAAGTTATAAAATGATTTATATTCCCTGTTATATATTATTTTCTCCTCCCAACTAAAGTTTGTAGAAGCAGGCCAGCATGAAGAATGCAAATAGATCCATACTCATCACCCTGCACAAAACTCAACTCCAAATGGATCAAAGACCTGAACATAAACACCAGAAACACTGACACCAATAGAAAACAAAGTGGGAAACAGCCTTGAATTCACTGACACAGGAAAAGACTTTCTTAACACAGCGCCATTAGCATAAGCAATAAGATCAACAATTAATAAATGGAACCTCAGAAAACGGAAATGCTTCTATATGCCAAAGGACACTGTTATTCAGCCCATGGGGCAGTCTTCAGGATGGAAAAAGGTTTTCCAATTACAAATCCAACAGATGGCTAATATTCAAAATATATAAAGAATTTAAAAAAACTAAATGTCAAGAAAACAAGTAACACTATTAAAAACTTTGTACAGATATATATGGGGAACTCTCAGAAGAGGAAACTCAGTTGACAAATAAGTACTTTAATTGTTAAATATTCTTCCATTACGGGAATACAAATCAAAACTACTTTGAGATTTAGTCTTACACCTGTCAAAATGGCTAGGAACAAAAATAAAAGTGGCAGCTGATTCTGGAAAGAATGTGTAGCAAGGGAAACATAGAACCATGGCTGGCGAGGACGCAAACTTGTTTGTAAGTGAGTATGGTGGTTTCTCAGAAAGATGGGAATCCATCTACCTCATGATCCAGCTATACCACTCTTGGTCATATACCCAAAGGACACTTCATACTACCACAGAGACACTTGCTCAGCCATGTTCATTGCTGCTCTATTCATAATAGCCAGAAACTGAAACAACCTAGATGTCAACAGATGAATGGATAAAAAGCAAGTACATGTATAAAATGGATTATTGCTCACCCATGTAAAATAATGACATCATGAAATTTGTAGGTAAATGGAAAGAACTAGAAAGAAGTCATCCCAAGTGAGGATGTCTTCATATCTCGGTTCCCTTTTGATTTGATGGTTAAGCAGGCAGGTTAGCTATGTAACTGACACATCTCCTGGGAATACAGACATCAGTGATAGCTTCAGTTTATGTATCAATCCGTGTTGTTATCAGTGACTCTCAGATAATGGGGTTATATCCTCATCGGGTATAGAAGCACCACCAGCGGGGATAGGTATGTACAAAATGAAAACTATCCCAGTTAATATTAAAAATATATTTAAAGTTTGAAAATAATCATCCACTTTCTTAAATGTAAATATTATGTCAGTTAGTTGTATTAAAATGTGAGTTGGGTGGGTCTGAACACGCCGCAATCCTGCAGTTTGGAAGGCTTTGGAAGGAAGATCATTAAGTTAGAAGCAACCTGAGCTATGTAAAGAATTCCGAATCAGCTTTGGGCTACATGGCAAACCTTGTCTCCAAAAGAAAAAAAAAAAAGAACTCAAACAAACCACACAACAATAATAGTAAAATTGGTAAGTGGGAGCATCAATTTTAAACTAAAGCAACATCAGTTTATGGCTAAAAAAAAATAATGTAGATGTTAAACACCAGGAATCTGGGAGTTCAGCTCCTTTCCTGCAATTCACATGTTTTATACGCCACGTCTTTAGAAACTGTGACATTATGTTAAGACTTTCATTCACGAGAATATTTTATAAAAATAAATTGACAGGGAGAAAGAAAAGGACAAAGGGGAGAGAGAGAGATGAAGAGAGAGACGGAGAGACAAGCACTCCCCGCCCTAAGTGACATCGCAGGCACCATGTGTGGGCAGTGCCGGTGCTTATGGAGGTTGGGCTGTAATAAATGCACTCACCTCGGTTAAGTGAGGGTTGGGGTTAAAACCACAGAGGCTACAGACGGTGGTCTGACACTCAGTGCATGTGTTAAAATTGGCCTTTTCTGGACTATGCAACAGAAGTTCAGTGGTGTTGCAAAGGGGACAGATGGTTTTGGAGAGGTCTTGTCTTGGAGTCTGTGCTGCAGAAGTCGGTGGTGGCTGCAGAGGTTTTCCAGAGACCGTTTGGCTTGTCGGTTTCATAGGCTGTTGTTGAGCTGAGGGTTTCGCTGGAGCGGGCTGTTGAGGCTGGGGTTTCGCTGGGATGGGTTGTTGAGGCTGGGGTTTTGCTGGGATGGGTTGTTGAGGCTGGGGTTTTGCTGGGGTGGGCTGTTGAGGCTGGGGCTTTGCTGGGGTGGGCTG